TATTTTAGGGTTTTTAATATATGATAAAAGTAGACCAGGGGGCCATAGTTTTCACTAGAGGCTTCTCTCTTGAAAATAGAATACAGTGGGTAAACAAATTACTGTTGGGCATTTGATAGAAAAGAAAATAATTATGAAAATATCTAAGGCAACGATCATGTATATAGGCATCACATCCGAGACAAGTAGACCGAACCGATTCTGTATCTGCTACTATTACTCCATACATCGTCTGCTATCCAACGTGCATCTAGAGTATAAAGTTTATAAAGAACTGAGTAATGCCTAAAGCAAGATGACATGATGTAGACAAGTAAACTCGCCATGAATAAACACCATCTTTTTATCCTAAATGGCAATGATACAAATACGTGTCATGTCTCTTTCCCTCACTGGGATTAAGCACCACAAGATCGAACCCATTACAAAGCACCTCTAAAATTGCAAGAAAAATCAATCTAGTTGGACAGACCAAATCAATAGATGGAGAGAAATACGAAGCTATAATAATCATGCATAAAATAGTTCAGAGAAGACTCAAATAATATTCATGGATAATCTGATCGTAAACTCACAATTCATTGGATCCCAACAAACACACTGCAAAAAGTGATTACATCGAAAAGAACTCCAAGAACATCGAGGAGAACATTGTACCGATGATCAAAAAGAGAGAGAGAACCATCTAGCTACTAACTATGGGCCCATAGGTGAGTGGTAAACTACTCACACATCACCGTAAGGGCAGCAAGGTTGATGTAGAGCCCCTCCGTGATTGATTCTCCCTCCGGCAGAGTATCAGAAAAGGCCTCCATATGGGATCTCACGAGAACAGGAACTTGCGGTGGTGGAAAAGTATTTTGGCTGGCCCTCGGTTGGCTTCCCGATTTTAGAGAATTTATAGAAGCGGAGTTAGGTCAAATGGATTCACGTGGGCCCCACAAGCCACCAGGGTGCGGCCACCCCCTTGGGCGCGCTGTGGTGACTCATGGGCCACTGCTCCATCTTCTCGACCTCTCCCGAAGCTTTTAGGGTCTCTTATGTCCAAAAAATATCTCCAAAAAGTTTCGTGGTATTTGGACTTTTTTTGGTACTGATATTCTGAAAAACCAAATATAGGCAAAAAAACAACTGGCACTGGGCACTAAGTTAATAGGTTAGTCCCAAAAAATGATATATAATTTCTTGTAAATGCATATAAAACATCCAAGATTGATACTATAAGAGCATGGAATAATAAAAAAATATAGATACATTAGAGACATATCAATATATAATGTAAATCATCATCAATGAAGACAACGGTTGATTCATTTTTGCACTTGGTATAAAGGTGTCACAAAGTAAAAGCTTCCTATAGTGAATGTTCCAGACAAAGTGGGTGTGACCCATAGGTCCACTTGGCTACCCAAGAGGGGAGGAATCTGGACACAAGGGGACAAAGCTTCACGAAAGCGTCTGAGGAGAATGAGGAATCCTCAAACAGTAAATGCAGGTCAACTTCATGTTGATATTCAACCTAGGGTTGAAGAACACCTTATTGACGTTGGACACATCCAGGACCCAACACAAGTGTGCATAAAAATATTGGTATTGGGACATCAGAAGACCATGACTCAACTGTTGTGCGAAATCATGAAGAGTCAGAGATAATGATGAAATCTCCACTATGTATATGGATTTGAGAGAATCATATAATAAAGACTACATTATGTCGACATTTATTTCTCCTTGAGAATTGCAAAAGACCTTGGATTGGATCGAGAACCTAAGTCCGTGCATGACTAATCCACAGGAAGGAATCAATTGCGGATGCGCTCTCTCTCAAGAAGAGGGGGTAATGACATGATCAGTAATACCACTCCTCTGAATGTGTTCCATGATGGAGCACAATGGGTTTTCGTTCATGAGAGGAACAAAAACAATGAGGTGATGAGACATGAAGCGAGCCTTGTAGCAGAGGGGTCCATGGAGAGACCCATCATCTATTAAGATGAAACATATTCTGTTGTTATGAGTGGATAACACTCCGATGTTTGGTATCACTAGCATTGCATAATGAATTTGTATATCCAACTGATGGATGTTGTGACTGCACAGTTGTATGAGTCACTTGATTCAGATATCTCTATGATAGTTCCCGAGGGAATGATGGTACCGAACTGGAAAGCTTATCGCAACATCTATTGATAAAGCTTTAAAAGTCATTGTATGGCTTAAAGCAGTCAGGATGAATGTGGTATAACCAACTGAGTGAATTCCTTTATTAGAAGGATTACTGAAATAATGATGGTTACTCATGTGTATTCAGCAAGAAAATCCAAATAATTTGCACAATTTGTGTGTATGTTGATGATTTGAATATCATAAGAACTACACAAGAAATGCATGAGACAAGAAAATCATCTTAAGACAAAGTGTGAGATGAAAGATTTGGTTGAGATCAAACTTTGCTTGAATTTGGAACTTGAGAGTATTCCTTTGGGAATACTTGTTCATCAGTATGCATTTATCCATAAGATTGTTGAAAAGTTCAGCATTCATAAATAATCTCCATCAAAGAAACTATGGTTGTGAGTAGACTTGTTCATGGACTACCCGTCCCGGAAGCCCGAGCCCGAAGCCCTGCATCCGGGACGGGCTTAGGCCCAAATTTCTCGCCCAAAGCCAGGCCCCAAAGCCTGAAATGGCAACAAATGTATATTTTATTAGAAACATAGGTGTATTATATTATTTTAATATCCCAAATATAATAATCTAATTAGAGAAACATTGTTCATATGCTTCAGGCCGTGCCGGGCTCAGGCTTATAATTTTGAGTCCGGACTTTGTCAAGCTCGACCCGGAGGATGATCAGGTTTAGTTGTGAGATATCTTGATTGATAAAGATAAAAGTCAGTAAGACCTAAGGGCGGTGATGAAGAGATGTTTAGGCCCGAATTTCCAAATCTCGGTGCAATGAGCACTAATATATCTAGAAACCGCGTCAAGCATGCTATATCATTACCAATGAATTTATTGGCTAGTTACAATACATCACCAATGAAAAAGCATTGGGTTGGTGTGAAGAATATTTTCAGATATCTTCTTGACAACAGAGATCTTGGTTTCTTTTATGAGAAAAATCAAAATTTGACCATGGTTGGATATTGTGATGCACATGTATGTCCTTGTCTTTTTGATGTCGTGCAAAGAAATGGGGAGCAGCGCGGCGGTGATTATGCCATAGTTGAAGATGATGACTTGCTTGGTTCTGGTTGCAGATTTTTTGTATTGCATGCGTCTTCTCGAAAGGTTCAGAAATGATGACACAGAGCTCCGGAGATCTTCGTGCTTTACTAGTTGTTTTAGGGCATGTACAATGGTGGAATATGGATACATATGCCCCATGACAAAAAGTAATTTGAAGCATCTACATTTATTTTTACTCTCCAATGCAAGCTACCACTAGTGGGCCTCATTAAGAAATAAAAAATAAAGACTTTCGTACACATGCATCTCTACTTTTCACTTCAACCTTTTCAGCTTTTGTCACCGGACCACACTTTTTCTCTTCAAGCACCCGCCTCCTGGAGAGGATCCCGCTTCCCTATCCGAACCTACTTTACGTCATATCCGATCCTACGTAGCATGTGAGGCATCACCTTGAGGCTATGCATTGTAGATGCCCTTAAGGCGCTCTCTGTTTTTCTGGTTTTTTGTGCGTGTGTTAGGGTGTGTTTGTATGGATCAAGAACCTTGTATTATTTTGTGATTTGAATGCAAGCATAATTTCTAACAAGAACATGGCCCGTGCATGCAAGCGTGTATTCATTCATTCGTGATCGAAGAATGTACGTGTAGGTGTTATATGGAAATGTGACGCGCAACATGCCTACCGGTGTGCGATGTGCACGTGCAAGCGAACATGAGGGGATTTGTCACGGCTCTCCATCTCCAATGCTAATAATAATTAATTGTGTGATAATCCTGATAATTTGGTGCAAATCATGCTGATCCATGTAATTTGGTGCTAATGTTTGTTAAATGTCGTCTCATTTTTCACTTAATGAATAGGCAGCATGAGACCGCTTTAACTAAAGGGTCTGTCTAGGACACATCTAGATGTTCATTATATTTGTGGCCTATTTTTTTCGTCCCAGTTTTTCTTTGTTCCTCATTGCTGTGTTATTTGTGAGAGCTTAGATGTGACATCCTTAAAAAACATCTAGATGTGAATTAGACAAATTGTAGGACATATCTAGATGTGACATAATTATGTCACATCTAACCTATTGTCCACTATATTTGTTATATTTGTGGTCTATTTTTTCGTCCTAGTTTTTTTTTGCTCCATATTGCTGTGTTATTTGTGAGAGCTTAGACAAACCGTTAACTAAAATCGTATAGAACAAAGGGTAAATGTCTTTTGAGGGGATGGAAATATGATGGGTCCAACGCCGCATTCACTTTTTATCCATCAATTAACACAAATATTCTAAGCAGACACAATACACCGTCGGCTCCATCTAGCTGATGTGCCCATTTCCGTTCGTGCTGAATATTTCCCATAATACAAATGTTGTGCGGACCAAGCAAACCATGACAAAACAAAATGCAGGAAAAAAATATAATTTGTGGTCTTTACGAATTTAGTTTACTCATATGCAAGTAGTATCATTAGAATTGTGATTACAAATTATTCGCAATAGAGTTCTCTATTACTTAGAGACATACCCAAGTATAATGATGTAAAGCAGTGGAAAGATGAAAAGTTCATTAATTTCCAAAACTATGGAAGTATAGAATTATTTCGACTTTCACCAAACTGGTATGCCCCATGCTCACATCAAAGTGTCGACAAATTTGCTTAATCGGACTTCACGAAATAACCATCATCTACCACAACACCAAAATAATTTGACTTATACATATACTAAATAATGACATTACAAATAGTAGTAACGCGAAATAAAGAATTGTATATTATCTATACATAGAGGTGATGAACTCCTGATCAATCATAGTTCAGTGAGAGGTGAGGCAGACAAAACATCATCAAAGAAGACATCCACCTCTCGCCACGCTGGAAGCTCACCCATCTCCAATAAACTCAACGGCTCGACATTAGCTGCATAGTAGTCAAGGTGTGATGACATCATACCATCATCGTCGAAAATCGTCGGTGCAGCAAATGAGAGGCCAGGGAACATGCAGTCTTCGTCCTCCGGCGGCACAATAACATCGGCGTTGCAAAACGGAGAGTAGTTGCCGCCTCTGCGGCACATGTCCACCGAAATCTTCAAACCAACAGGAACGGTAGACTCCTCAGGCTTGGCATTCACTGTAGACGCCACCACCTCGAGCGGCCTGAGGACAGAGACCGGCGAGCCAACAAACTGCGACTCATCGCTGGACTCCTCGTATGTGGCCGCCACAAGGAAGTGGCCGACATCACCGTCAGCATCGGTCAAGAGAGCAGGATCAGGATCAGCAGAAGGGGACGGCGAAGTAGGAAAATTCGTCGTTGCAGATGGCCCACGAAGCCGGAGGGCGGCACTATCATAGACCATGGCAGCCTCCTCCGCGGTGTCGAAGGTGCCGAGCCACACCCTCACCCCCTTGTTGGGGTCGCGGATCTCCGCCGCGTACTTCCCCCACGGCCGACGGCGCACCCCGCGAAATTTGGGTTCCTCCGCAGTGTCGGCCCTCCTCTTGGCGCCGAGGATGGCCCCTCTCCGGAAAGGAGAAAGCTGCGGCTGCGGCGACGCCGTCATCCTCGCCGGCTGCTCGATGCAGATTTCCTCGATGTAGCGGCGTCCCTGCCGCGGCGAGTCATCGCTGGAGGAGTCGGTGGCGTCCCGATCCTCGAACGTGACGCGAAGGACTCTTGGCATCGCCACGGCCGCGACCTCCTCTCCCTCCTCCTTGACGACCCTCCTCCGGTGCTGGTCCAGTGTCTTCCCAGCGGCGACGATGGGTTCCACCATTGGCACCCTCCTCGTGGACTGATCGAGAGAGTGAGAAAAGGTCCTGGAAGACGAAGAGGAGGGGAGGTGGAAAGGGGGGGAGGAGGTGGATCGGCCAACGCGAGGCTTTGGGAAGGGGAGAAGACGCACTCTACCCGTTTATAGGATCTCCTGCGTAATAGGCAACGGTTTATCAGATTGATCTGCGAGGGAGATATTCTTTATTTTTGGAGGGTTGGATGGAGGGAATCGCGCTCCCGTTACGCTACCAAAAATCAAGCAATGTGGACTCATGTACGTGTCAATGACACACGGGACCCGACGCTTCCCCCATTTACGCACACGATCGCATCGTTGCCTTCTCTGCCGGATGGCTTCGATTAAGATTAAGTAAGTAATGATAATCGGATCGATTTAGATGGACGGGGCGGTCAAGTTCTGCTTTATTTTGGGAAACGAGAGATCCTTGAAAATCTCTACCCGACCAACCGATCCACCGTATGTGTAGCCGCAACCTTTCTCCGCGTATCTACTGCCCAATGCCCATGCATGCATGTATCATACGCGGTCGGTCAATTTGTACGTAGGATTCGATGTAACAACAACAACAAAATCTACGTAGGGTAAATTGATTGGGCAGTGCCTCCACGATACGGTGGACACCCATGCAAAAAAAAAAAGAGATACGGTGGACACGATACGTACGTACGTGATCTAAGTATCTAACTGAGTGGAGGGCTAGTAGTAAAATTCTGGGGTCAAACGTAACAGCTCGATCTGGTCCAAGGCATCATCAATCTAAGCTAAGCAGACCGGGACAACGCAAGAGACCAAACTGTTGCGAGGGAAGCTAGCGAACAACGGCGGCTCGACGACGACGACGGAAAGATGCCGAGGCGCAGGGGGGCGAGAGATACCGGACAGAAACGGGCCGGCGGCGGGCGCAGACGGCGGAAGGGACAAGGTGAGCCACTGAGGGGGCGTGGAAAGGTGCAAACTGTCGTTACGCTGTGTTGGTACGTGTGTGGGTGTGACACGAGCTGAGAGGGACGCGACGATCGATGATGGGACTGCTGTTGGAGTAGCAAGTGGAGGTGGGAGACAACAAAACTGGACTGGCCTGGCTGGCTGGCTCTAAATTTAAATTAGATGAGCTATTTTTGAATTGGAACAGGAGGGACATCGTCATCGGGCTGATGAGACGACAAAGGGTTGCTGTTTCTAGTCTAGCAATGTGCACCTGGGGATTTAGTAGATTATTAACGTGCGGTTGTGGTGTGTGGTGGCTCCTTTTCTTGGCTACGTATGGAATGTTTTATGTTTGTATGTCCAATGATTGAGAATTTAGACGGCAATTGGGCACCTATATACAAAACATGTGTTTTCATTGAATTTTTCTAGTCTAGACCTCGCGTGCCCGCATTTGTAAGTTATGCGACCGGACAGCGCACCACAGTTTTCACCACTTGCGACCAGGGCCCTTGTGAGCTATTTGATCAAGAAGATCGAGCGGCGGCAGGAACTGAGGGGACAATGAAGGAGAAGGGGGTGATCTCGCGGCGATGAGCAAATCTGGCGGCTGGATTGGGAATGAGCTCACAATGGGTTTGTTTGTTCTTTAGCTTGATGTGGACTGGGCTCATTGAAACCGTATGTAGATTGCTTTTTGTGAATCAAGGAGCATAGCTTCCAATTTTCATTGATCTTAAAATTTGATAATACAGAATCATCCACCAAGCAGCTCTACCAACTGATGTTATCTAAAATTACACTATTACAAACTTTTTATTTGAAACATAATATAAAGCCTCCAGCTGCCTCCAGCTCGAACTGGAAACGAGCACTAAGTCACGACAGACTTCACTTGGTGTACCACATAACTTTCCAGCAACGTTCCCACCAAAACCCTCCACTTTCACGACTCTCCAGAAACGTGCACCAATCTTCATGGCTCATCCAGGAATCCGCAACACGAATGGAGCATGACCTTTCATCTTGTTGTATATATAAGTTGCAACATGTAATAGCAGCTTTGCTCGTTTGACTTGCAGTCCTCATATATTTTTGTTTCTGTAAAGCAGACTGAAACTCTAACCAGTAAGTTTCTGAGTGACTAGGATCATAAGGGTGAACATTGTTAAAGCAAGCATTGTTCCTACACTTACATATAGCCCAAATTACCATCGTCACTCCCACTAATACTAAACATATGTATTTCGTAGAAACAAATTCATAACTTGCACACATATTTCTCTAACATAACTCAAATTCAAATTGATACCCAAAGCACTACTAACTAACCCCACACATATCTAGCCAAAGAACAATTTATAAACAAGTGGTCCACCATTTCCTTTCTATCACAAAATTTACATTTACTGCTCCCTACCCAACCTCTTTCTAACAAGTTAGCTTTAGTAAGAATTCTATTCCTAAAAATCAACCACAAAAGGACTTCAATCTTCAAAGGTACTTCTATACACCATAGTCTTGCAAATGGGCATTTCACTTGCAGAGCTTTTAACATCAAATACATAGAATTACCAAAGAATTTACCAGAATTTAACATCCAAACACATTTATCATTTTCCTCATTTAACACGACTCCAACACACAAGTCCTGCGGTTGCTTCCATGATTCAGCTAATTCACCCCTAATGTTTATCCTAAAATGAATATTTTTCCATCTCTCCTCTAAGATGTTAGCTACTACTTATTAAAACTAGCATTAAAATTATACAATCTAGGAAATTTGTTACACAGAGCATAATCCCCCAACAATATATCCTCCGAGAACCTTATGTTCTTACCATTCCCCCATTTTTTTGTTGGACATATGCCCTAGAGGCAATAATAAAAGTATTATTATATTTCCTTGTTCATGATAATTGTCTTTGATTCATGCTATAACTGTATTATCCGGAAATCGTAATACACGTGTGAATACATAGACCACAATATGTCCCTAGTAAGCCTCTAGTTGACTAGCTCGTTGTGATCAACAGATAGTCATGGTTTCCTGGCTATGGACATTGGATGTCGTTGATAACGGGATCACATCATTAGGAGAATGATGTGATGGACAAGACCCAATCCTAAGCATAGCACAAAGATCGTGTAGTTCGTTTGCTAGAGCTTTTCCAATGTCAAGTATCTCTTCCTTAGACCATGAGATCGTGTAACTCCCGGATACCGTAGGAGTGCTTTGGGTGTATCAAACGTCACAACGTAACTGGGTGACTATAAAGGTGCACTACAGGTATCTCCAAAAGTGTCTGTTGGGTTGACACGGATTGAGACTGGGATTTGTCACTCCGTGTAAACGGAGAGGTATCTCTGGGCCCACTCGGTAAGACATCATCATAATGTGCACAATGTGACCAAGGGGTTGATCACGGGATGATGTGTTGCGGAACGAGTAAAGAGACTTGCTGGTAACGAGATTGAACAAGGTATCGGTATACCGACGATCGAATCTCGGGCAAGTAAAATACCGCTAGACAAAGGGAATTGTATACGGGATCGACTGAGTCCTTGACATCGTGGTTCATCCGATGAGATCATCGTGGAACATGTGGGAGCCAACATGGGTATCCAGATCCCGCTGTTGGTTATTGACCGGAGAACGTCTCGGTCATGTCTACATGTCTCCCGAACCCGTAGGGTCTACACACTTAAGGTTCGTTGACGCTAGGGTTATAAAGGAAGCTTGTATGTGGTTACCGAATGTTGTTCGGAGTCCCGGATGAGATCCCGGACGTCACGAGGAGTTCCGGAATGGTCCGGAGGTAAAGATTTATATATGGGAAGTCCTGTTTTGGTCACCGAAAAAGTTTCGGGTTTTATCGGTAAAGTACCGGGACCACCGGGAGGGTCCCGGGGGTCCACCAAGTGGGGCCACCTACCCCAAAGGGCTGCGTGGGCCATGTGTGGGAGGGAACCAGCCCCAGGTGGGCTGGTGCGCCCCCCACAAGGGGCCCAAGGCGCAGGGGAGGGTGGGAGGGGGCAAACCCTAGGGTAGATGGGCCCTAAGGCCCATGCTCCCTGCGCCTCCCTCTCCTCCCCCTCCTGGCCGCCACCCCAGATGCCATCTGGTGGCTGGCCGCACCCCTTGGGGTGGGGAACCCTAAAGGGGGCGCAGCCCCCCTCTCCCCCTATAAATAGTGAGGCATAGGGCTGCCCAGAGAAGACACAGAATACACGTGATTCGATCTCTGCCTTTGGTTGCAGCCCTCTCCTCTCTCCCAAGTACTCCTCCTCTCCCGTGGTGCTTAGCGAAGCCCTGCTGGATTGCCACACTCATCCACCACCACCACGCCGTTGTGCTGCTGCTGGATGGAGTCTTCCTCAACCTCTCCCTCTCTCCTTGCTGGATCAAGGCGTGGGAGACATCGTCGGGCTGTACGTGTGTTGAACGCGGAGGTGCCGTGCGTTCGGCACTTGATCATCGGTGATTTGAATCACGACGAGTACGACTCCATCAACCCCGTTCACTTGAACGCTTCCGCTTAGCGATCTACAAGGGTATGTAGATGCACTCTCTTTCTACTCATTGCTGGTTTCTCCATAGATAGATCTTGGTGGTACGTAGGAAAATTTTGAATTTCTGCTACGTTCCCCAACAGTGGCATCATGAGCTAGGTCTATTGCGTAGATTCTTTGCACGAGTAGAACACAAAGTAGTTGTGGGCGTTGATTTTGTTCAATATGCTTACCGTTACTAGTCCAATCTTGTTTCGACGGTATTGTGGGATCAAGCGGCCCGGACCGACCTTACACGTACTCTTACGTGAGACAGGTTCCACCGATTGACATGCACTTCGTGCATAAGGTGGCTAGCGGGTGCCAGTCTCTCCCACTTTAGTCGGAACGGATTCGATGAAAAGGGTCCTTATGAAGGGTAAATAGCAATTGGCATATCACGTTGTGGTTTTGCGTAGGTAAGAAACGTTCTTGCTAGAAACCCATAGCAGCCACGTAAAACATGCAACAACAATTAGAGGACGTCTAACTTGTTTTTG